ATAAATTTTAACAGAATTGTATAGGTTGCATCAACACCTATCGATCGACCTACAAAAAAATTTTGCCACGCCCAGTCTAACGCACTATGGAGCGACTAGAACAAATACCCTGTCAAAATATTTTTTTTTTTTAGATTTCCAAACTTGTCGAATGGCAACTTTAAAAACAATTAAATTCCGCATACAAATTAATATGAAAGTGTAGTATGTGATGATAGGTTATGTCCTCAAAGTGCATGACTTAAAATAGAATTATAACCAATAAGAAAAAAATTATTTTCGTAAACTTTTTTGAAATTGTTCAAATAGCGACTTATCTTCATATTTTTATATTTATTGATTAAAACTATTAGATTAACCAATGATTATTGAGCCGTCGTCGCATGCAGACGTATATTTATTGTCCTCCGGAAAAAAAGTATTAAATAAAATCATAAAAGTGCAGTGACTAGACTTATAAATCTACTATATTGCGAAAAGAAGCTTTTTGCGATGAAATCGCAAATGTTTATATTGACTAGTCAATTAATTAATATAAATTTAGCACTTAAAACTCAAATTAACTTAACCTCGATTACAATGAGTCTAAACGACTTTCGCACACAACGTCAACTTGAGCAAGACGACAGACGGCTCTCAGTACAAAGAAATAATGCGTACTTCTCTTTTAAAGCAACCGAAAAATTGAAGCTCTGATTAAGCGCGGTCAACTTGGCCGATTTCTTAAACGTAGCGAGCGAGAGAGCGCGTTCTAGCTCCCCCTCGCTACCATCGATGCCTCTGCAGCCAAATAGCGCTGAATGTGCTCCAACGCAGGTATGCAATGACCTACGCTCATCAGCAGTAACTAGCACCGCAATTTCTTTGACAACGTCAAATGCTACAACAACAGCAACCGCAACTTTATCGACTGGTCGTTTACCGACATCATCAGCAACTTTGTCAACCAAAGTTAGCAAACATTAGTACGTCTCTCGCTGCGCTGCCCGAAAAACAGAACAAAAACAATGATTATGTTATGCCTGCTATGCAGACTGGTATGGATCGCTACACCCAAATCAAAAGGAAGCTGAGTCCCCTAAATTCTCAACGCAAAATAACCCAAGGTAATGCTAGCCTATCTGCAATAGAAACGCCCATGAATACAAGCCGATTTAAAATCTTCGCAAAAGCCTCTGATGTTTAGGCGATGAATTTACTAAAGTCGAGAAAAGGAAGCCAAAGCCTCCGCCTATTTATGTTCGAGAAAAAGGTTCCAATGTTCTTGTCTACAAAATCATCGAGTCTGAAGATAAACATCTTACCGAGAACAAAAAGAACTTTTACACGTATCAGCTAAAAAGCAGCAAGGGCCTGCAAGTCGTACTTAAAGGCATAGAGTCCGGCGTAACGCCGGCAGAGATAACAAAGTCGCATCCATCAGAGAGGAACTACTGCCCGCACCCAAAATAAACAGTTGACAGCTTCCCGATCAAGCCCTGAAGTCTTCTTCACGACTGCAGCCAGATCCTTACTAGGACCCATTAACTTTGACAAAAATGTGACTTTCGCAAGCGCTTTAAAAACAGGGCTGCCTACCCCTGTTTAAAAAAGTTCATCTCTGACTACAATGCCAAGCACACACACTGGGGATCTCGTCTCGTGACTCCAAAAGGAAAGCAGCTCAATAATGCAATTATAAAAGCGAAGAACAAGCTCGACTATGGCAGACCAACATACTAGCCGGCAGACCCAAAGAAACTACCCGATTTAATAGATTTTGGGACTACCAAAAACATTCCTAAAAATCTGATAAGCGCCGAATGCCTTTCGGATCTTTAATCTGATCACTCGCCTGTCCTGTTTATTCTACTCCGACATCCAGGAACTTTAAAACAATCGTTAAAATTGACTTCACAGAAAACTAATTGTGTTAAGTACAGGAAATATATTAGTTCACACATTAAGCTAAGTCCTCATATCAACGATGAAGCCAACGTAGGAAGCTTTGTTAATACACTGAAGTCTGTACTCGTCTCTGCAGCTCGAGTTTCAACACCTCAAACTACAAATACATAATGCAACCAAAAGAAGACAAATCTGCAAATCTAACAGCTCGTCCTCGAAAAGCGATGCTTACGTCGAGATAAGCAATTCCACAGATCGCCATCTGCTAGGCAAAGCTCAAGCCATGCTTAAAGCTTTACAGCAAGAATAATCATATTTCCAGCGCCGCTACACAGAGCAATTGTCAACATCTAGTACAAAACACTCACTATGGAGAGCTCACCCAACTCTAAGCTCACCGAAAGAAGCTGTGATGCCTGTTGGAAACCCCACAGGCGGCTGGGCACTCAGCGATGCAGACAAATCCAGAACGTTTGCCAACCCGCTTAGGAATGTCTTCCAACCAAACCTTCCTACTAGTGCGTTCACTTTGCCGACTTTACCATATGAGCATCAGCACGGAATAATTGAGAAAGTCAACCGGATAACATCAGAAATCAGGAGCAGGTTCGAAAAACGAGAGTACTGTACTGCCATATTTTTTGATGTCTCTCAAGCATTTGATTGAGTTTGGCTAAAAGGTCTAATGTACAAGATCAAGACCATGCTCCCCTACAACACCCACAAGCTTTTAGAGTCTTACCTCTACGAAAGAAAATTTGCTGTGAGGTGCAACACAGCTATATCTGACGATTTTACTATCGGAGCTGGAGTTCCTCAAGGTACCGTTCTTGGGCCAACATTATATGACCTCAACACAGCAGACATCCCGACAAGCACACAACTAAGAACATCTACGTTTGCTGATGACACAGCTATTCTTAGCCGCTCAAAATGCCCGACGCAAGCTACTGCGCAGCTAGCTCTTCATCTGGTTGATGTCGAAAAATTACTATCAGTTTGGCCAATTAAAGTGAACGAACAAAAATGCAAGCACGTTACGTTCAACATGAACAGGCAAAGCTGCCCGCCGCTCACGTTAAACAACACTCAAAGTTCTTTACCAAGCTTACTTTGTACCCTAACCCTAACCTGTCGAAATTTCCGCCGAATCGGAATCGTAGTTTTGTTTTGACTGCGTGTGGAATCGGACGTGTCCGCGGATTTTAGAAAAATGGAGAAAGAGCAATATCGGTCTGTGATTCGATTCTTGTTTTGGAAGGGAAATCGCGCAGTGAAATCAAAGAGCGATTGGATGCTGTGTACGGTGACTCTTCTCCTTTGATGGCGACCGTCAAAAATTGGTTTAACGAGATTCAACGTGGTCGCCCGTCGGTTTTTGAAGAGCCACGCCCAGGTGCCCCGAAAACGGCCACCACGGAGGATAACGTGACAAAATCCACGATCTCGTATTGGCAAACCGCCAAATGAAGAAACGCGAGATAGCTGAGACAGTAGGCATGTCAAAAGACCGCGTGGGCATATCCTTCATGACATTTTGGGCATGAGAAAGCTGTCGGCGCGATGGGTGCCCGTTTGCTCACTCCAGACAAAAAACGCAACCGTGAGACCACTTCAGAGCAGTGTTTGACGTTGTTTAAGCGCAATCCGAAGGAGTTTCTGCGTCGTTTCGTGACCATCGACGAAACATGGATCCACTGGTACACACCAAAGACCAAGGAACAGTCGAAACAGTGGACTTCACCCGGCGAACCTGCTCCGAAGAAGGCGAAGAACGTCCCATCGGCGGGAAAGGTGATGACCACTGTTTTTTGGGATTCACAAGGTGTGATCTACATCGACTACCTGGAAAAGGCCGATTCGCCGCCGAATTTCAGAAAATACGGCCCCATTTAGCGAGGAAAAAAGTGCTCTTCCATCATGACAACGCACCGGCTCACACTTCCGCCCTCGCCAAGGCCGAATTGGTCGAATTGACCCCATCCACCATACTCTCCAGATTTGGCCCCGTGTGACTTCTTATTCTTTCCAAACTTAAAAAAAGTCACTAGCTGGACAGAAATTTGCGTCGAATGAGGAGGTCGTCGCGCCACAGAGGCCTATTTTGCAGACCTCGAGAAAACGTATTTTTCAGACGGGTTAAAGAAGTCGGAGCATCGCTGGGTCAAGTGTATCGAGCTAAGGAGATTATGTTGTGAAATAAATTTTTCAAAATTTTACTTGTCCGACCACCCTCGTACAGCAAGAAAACTTTTTTTCAGCAATACAATTTTCGGAAGACAAATTCAATCTATCTACCTCTTTTCAAATATTTGCCACATCTTTTCGATCCCTTAGCAATATATCCTACAAAATATTGGCATAAGGTCGTTTGTGCAAACAAAATCATCTGCAGAGCTATCGAAGTAAGCATGATTTTTCCTCATGATGACCAAAAATAAATCAGTAATGAACATCGATGATTTGTTCAATGACCCAAATTTGGGAGAGGCTGGGTAATATGGGGGGGAGGAACAGTGATGATAGGCAGATATTGGGATAGTCGCTGCCATATTGTCCAAGCAGACAGACATATTGTCCAGCTGCCATATTCTCTAAGCAGACAGATGCAGCGAGAGCTTCCAAATGGAGTGTTTGTGCCTAGAAATTGAATAAAAGTGAGTGGTAGAAAATTTAGCATGTTAGTGGTAGTAGCTTATTCTTTTATTTATAAACAATTATCCGTAGGGTACCCGGGGTCTGGACACAACGGGCCCCGGGATATTTATTTTGGGAGTTATACGGACGTATTCACACTTTCGCACCTGGGAGCCACGATTTGGTGATGCAACCGGTGTCCGTTCGACCCGCTGAGAGGAACTTGGACCAGCTAACGTCGCCTTCCTCGGTCGCCGCCGACGCCATTCAACATTTTCCGGTGAGTCCGTTCCGGACTATTACGTCCACCTCATCCTGGGAACATCAGGCCGTCGTATCGCGCGGCGTTGAGAGTTACCGCCCTTTTTGTTCGGGCGGCCGAACTTTCTACTGGTCTTACCTCAACTCACCGTAGTGCGCCAGATTTCCTTTTTGGACATTCATTGCCGCTGACCTCCGGCGGAGAAGTCCTCAGCCCGGGTTATAATCGCCCTCCATGCCTGGCCCAGAAGTGGCTGAAATTCGGAATTGTTAGTAACATGTGTCCATTCTTTCCTTTATATACTTCGTTTTAATTCACCTGTAAATTTATCCGGAATTAAACCCGACTGCCTTAGTTACCCTCGTCGTTTGCCTGTAAGCGGTTATACATATCTTAGGTGGTATAGTTTACAGCGCATATTACGTACCGTTTGACATGTCCCTATATTTTCCCAGGAGTTCCTCAGGATTAGGTGAACAGACACGAGCGCATCGCATGTGTCCCTTTTTGTGTGCCGCGTTTCCGTGCAAGCTCTACCAATACATGACTTGTAGAGCACAATTTTCCGCGGCGCCTGTAGCTTTTTCCAGTGGGGAATGAATTCTCAGCCTTGACCGCGTAAAATTGAAGACGGTGGCCAACTTTTGGTATTGAGGGCTGAGGAAAGATAAGTTAGTTAACAGAAAAAAACAATGTACATAAATACTTACTGTTATTATTAATTGTCCGTGAAAACGAAATGTGCAAGTGAGTTGTCCCTGTGGGGGAGAGGGAGCTGTCGTAGTCGCATCCTTGGTTGGGTGGGAGCGCTTGGCTAATTCAACGACAGCTAGCAAAAACAACCCATTTTTCCGTCAAATTGTATTTATTTACCATTATATATGTTTTGTTTTTAGTGTTGACAGATAGTTTTGTGATGTGAGACAGCGAAGCTATCGATATTTAATGTTACATTAGGGATAAAAATGAGCTGGCGGCACTACCACCGAAAAAAAATGTAGTTCGTAGCCACATAATAATCAAAAATAAGTTGCTCGGTTTTTGTTAGCTAAAGGCTCCCTTCTGAGTCTGTTTGCGTACATTTAGCGAGACTTTAGTCAAAGCTTTCTATTATTTCTAAGTTCGTTTACAAACACATTGCCTTACGTTTACTTTATTATCGTACCAAAAAGTATGAATTCAAATAGGGGACATGTCACACAAAGGAATGTGTCGTATGGCGGGCTCTAGCGGTGAAAACAGCACTTTAAACGTGGAGCCCGCAATGCTCGATTCTAGTTGGAATCTAGTCGGCCGTCGCCCTGCTTGACACTTGACCTAGAGGATAGCGCCCCTCAGCTGGCGATCGAATCCCGCTGTAGACTTTCGATTTATTTTTTTGTTTTCCTTTTTATACCCTTGCAGAGGGTAATCTAATAGATTTGGGCCATCGGGATGATGTCGGAGCGAGCCGGATCGGACTATCTCGTAAACTATCAAAGATAGAGGGTTGGCATTTAAGAATTAGATTCCTATTCTCGTACACAGCGCAAGTTTGTTAAGCTGATGTGCCACGCCCACTCTAACGTTCACAAGGCTAGAAAACTGTGTCGCCCACAGTTTTGTGCTAGAAAAAAGTTTAACTGATATGTATTGGTTTTACCATTGATTGATTATATAATTTACTACTTGGAAATATTTCAGTCCACAATTTTCATCGAATTTCATTTTTTTTCAATGTGTATCAAAAAGTTGAGCAGCGTGGTCGTTCTCTGTCGACCGCTGCTTTAAATCTATATCTGTGACTAGCAAAATATATTACAATTTCAGCGACGTATAAAACGTATATGAAACTGTAGAATAATTATACCCGTTACTCGTAAAGTAAAAGGGTATACTAGATTCGTCGGAAAGTATGTAACAGGCAGAAGGAAGTGTTTCCGACCCCATAAACTATATAAATTCGTGATCAGGGTCACTAGCCGAGTCGATCTAGTCATGTCCGTCTGTCCCTCCGTCCGGATGAACGCTGAGATCTCGGAAACTATAAGAGCTAGGCTATTGAGCTCCTGAGCTTATTACGCAGCGCAAGTTTGTTTCAGCAATGTGCCACGCCCACTCTACCGCCCACAAACCACCCAAAACTGTGGCTCCTACAGTTTTGATGCTAGAACAAAAATTTTAATTGAAATGTATTGCCCTCATCAATACCTATCGATTAACCCAAGAAAAAGTTTGCCACCCCCACTTTAACGCCCACAAACTTCAAAAAATCGGAAATATGAGCGCGGATATCTCAGAAACTATAGAAGACAGAGAATTGGTATTTCAGATTTAGATTCCGTAGCCTTGTACGCAGTGTAAGTTTTTTACGCGAAGATGCCACGCCCAAAAATTTTAATTGAAATGTATTAGTCTTGTTAATACGATCGATTGATCCAAAAAAAGTTTACCACGCCCACAAACCGCCTAAGCCTGTGGCGCCCACAATTTTCATGCTAGAAAAAAATGTTAACTGAAATGAATTAGTCTCGTCAATACCTATCGATTGACCCCAAAAAAAGGGTTGCCATGCACACTCTAACGCCCATAACGCCTAAATCTGTCTACCGCCCACTTAACCATATATTGATATCGCGGGTAGGTGGCTTATTTCAATCTCGCTTTACTGCTTGCATATCTCCATTTCCCTTTTGTTCCTTTTAGCTGAGTAACGGGTATCTGATAGTCGAGGTTCTCGACTAAAGCGTTCTCCCTTGATTCGTTTTATTTGCTCCTATATGTAGTTAAATTTAAAACAAGTCACAGGCAACCTACAGAGTGCGTGTAAGCGTGTCACAAAAAAAATGTATATTTATTTAAATCGTCTTCAGCATATAAAATAAAAAGTCCTCAAACATATGATATTTCATTTGGAAGTTTTTCGTATACTCTTCTTTGGGGACAATATGCTATATTAAAGAAATTGTATTTCGAAGACGATTTTATTTTTAAAATCGATCTATTTTTTGGAATATTCCACGAAAGTAGAGCGTTTTTTCAAAAACCTTATTACACCCATAAAGTCCCTAAGACCATGAAACCAAAAAGGGACTCATACAAACCCACAAAAAAAGGGACACATATTTTTATTTTGGAAAGTCCCCCAAAATTTAGTTTTTGGCATAACTTTTGAACGGGGCATCGGATTTTCACATATTAGGTGTGTTCTTAGTAAGAACATAGAATAGTAGCCGGGTGCATTTGTCCCCCTCAGCCCAAATCTATCTTCATGCCAAAAATTGTCAAAAACGGACCAACCTTTAAGCAAATAAAGAAATCGACACTAGGTTCTGAACATTCGCTTTGCTGCATGTCTCCTTCTCCATAGCACTTATCCTAGCTGAGTAACGGGCATTTGAAAATCGATAGCATCGACTATTGCGTTTTCTCTTGTTGTATCTGCATTCTAGCTTTGTGACTCCTGATCCAGGACCATAGTTAGCTTGTCGGTGATCTTGTTGTGCATCTTAGTACTAAACATAAGTGTTTTTGTGTATACGAATGTACATTCGACTTGAAAGCTTTCTGCACTTTGGCAACGAACTTATACGATTTTACTGTATCATCAGCAAAATGATTTCTTATGACAGACAGAATAAATCTTTTAACCCTTTTTATCTGACCACTCCTCCTAGGCACTTCGGAAGTTGTCCACACAAGCTGAATCGCATTTCCTTTTACAAATTCCTCGAATGCGCTTAAGGTAAACGCTGTTCCTCTATCAGTTACAATCCAAGAAGCAAATCCAAATACTTTGAACCAAGGACCGTAAATAATCATTCAATAACCTATACCAGTACATTTCTTATGCATCATAGTCTCAAATTCCAGATTAATTTTTTTCCAATTTTTATTTAAACTGGAATGCTAATCGTTTTTTAGTTTTATATAAATCTGAAAAAGTAAGTATTATAATCTAATATAGTTGAGTTTATTTTCAGCTCTAGAAATAATAATTATTTTATGAGTTTCACTTTCCGTCCGTATGAACGCTGAGATCTCAGAATCTATAAGAGCTAGAAAGTTGGGATCCTACGCAAGTTATATCAGCAGGGTGCCGCACACACTCATAATTTAATGAGTTTTTTTATTATCAATACCACTCTACATGCCGAAAATTATTTAAGTTATCAATAAATAAATCGCAAATTCAATAGAGTGCGAGAGTAATGGATATATTCGTCGGCTGCCTACGAGGTTTACTAACGTGCCACCTAGCTTTCATCCTATAGACCCTATGTGGGTGTTAGTGAAATCTCGTAAACAGCCGATAGGAATAAATGCTAGGTTCGTCGTTTTGTGTGGTGTGCACTTCCTTTAGCTGAGAAACGGTATCTGATAGTCGAGGCCGTTTACTTAAGCTTTTCTCTTGGTTTTATTTCGATTAAAATTTTTTGTTTTTCATTATTTTTTTTTAAATTTGGATTTTTTTTTTATTTTTTAAGAGTATTGTGTCTTTACCGTATCTTTTCCGGCTGACTTTCTAAAATGATAAAGAAGATAGATATGTGCTTCGAAGGGCTTACTTTAAACTGTGAAACGATGAGTAGCTCCAAAGATTCCAAAAACCGTATCGGAGTTTTTGTAAAAAAAAAATTTCGCTTTGAGTATGACTATATGACTTCATTAAACTTTTCAATTCCGCGAAACATTAATCCAATCCAATAGATGAAGTATTTTAAATGCAAACATTCCTATATTTATTATATTATTTCCATAATATTTTTCTGATCCTAATGCAAGCTAAAATAACTAGAATTAAAAGAATCTTATGCCATAGTTTACTATCCTTTTTTCACAATTAGAGCTATTCTTCTGACGTTTTATATCATTTCCCCTTCAAGATCCTGATTCAATAGTCACGCACGGAGTAGGATCGAAAATTTCAGTGGCTTAGCTGTTTGAAGATGAGCTAGATTAATAATTTTACAATCATTATTCTTTCTATCGTCAGCATAAGCCCTTAAGTCTACAAACTTGACATTTTCGAGAAAACTAAAAAAAATTCAGAAAGGGAAATTGTTTGCTGTCTTAAGTTAATAGTGTCAATATCGATTAATGCCGCTTTGATGCTTTGCTTAATAGAAAGACTTAGGAAAAAGGTGTTTTTTCTTAGTTTGGACATATTTTTTTTTTTGTTTTTTTCCAAGTTCTTGATAATTGAAACATTCCCGTCTGGCTATAAGGTCGTATGTTAGAAGTCCGTTCATTACATTAATTAAATGCGGAAAGTCGTATAGGAAAGAAAATTATGGTTTTCAATTTAAAAGGAAAGAACGCTATAGTCGAGTCTCGACTATCAGATACCCGTTACTCGCTAATGGGACCAAAGGAAATGGAGTATTGCAAGCAGCAAAGCGAGATTAAAATGCGCCCCTACCGGCGGTAACAGATTTAAGCGTTATGGGCGTTAGAGAGGGCGTGGCAATTTTTTTATCGATTAATCGATAGGTATTGACGAGACCAATACATTCAGTTAACATTTTTATCTAGCATGAAAATTGTGGGCGCCACAGGTTTGGGCAGCTTGTGGGCGTAGAGTGGGCGTGGCAACTTTTGGGGTCAATCGATAGTATTGATGAGAACATACATTTCAGTTAAAATTTTATTCTAGCATCAAAACTTAGAAG